ACCCTAGACAAGGAAAGGTTTTTCATGCTTATGGGTTTAATGCATCCCAGCCAGCCTCAGGCTGCACATCAATTTCCCAAATCCATGAGGTGGTCCAGAATCGTCTCTTCTTTGCTGCTGTCTTTGCCCAGTTCTTGCCCCATGTTTATCCCTACCGTCTGCTCCCAAGCAGAGCTCAGGGAGCTCCCAGGTCTTCATTAGTCCCTTCCAAGCCCCATCCTTGCAGTCTGTGCCGGGTGGTGCCACCTCACCTCAATCTCCAACAGACCCAGCTGTGTTTTGCCATGCAGCCATGGCATTCTGCTGTGGTTGCAGAGCAATGGAGAAAAGGAGGGAGACCCCTCCAGCCTGCTGCCCAGGGGTCACACCACGAGGAGCAGAGAAAACCATCCCTAAATGCACAGCTAAGCGGGAAATCAGGAGGGAAAGGTGGGGAGTGCCACATAAATGGCATTACGCCTTCCATCACTGCCTACCGGTTCATTGAGAGGGATGGGTAATGGGGAAGGTACTTTCCAGAGACTTCTGGCAGCAGGACAAGTCTCGTATTTGCTTGTCCTCCTGGTTTTCTCTTTAATCTCCAGTTTTTACTGCTACTGTGCGTAAAGAGAAGATGAGTGCATCTGAGGACAGAGAGGATGGGTGCCCCCTCCCTTTCCAAAGGGTGCTCTGACCCCTGGGACCTGGGCAAGGGTGCACCTGGCTGGTGGCTGAGCTGACGCTGCAATGACCTGTAGTCCCTGCAGCTTACAAAAGCACTGAGGAGAGCCCTGTGTGGGCACAACAGTCACCAGATCCGACAACTCCTGGACTCAGTTTGACTCCAGGGACCCAGGCCAGGAAAAACAGCCTGGTCCCCTGCTCCAGTCATAGAATCATAGAATCATAGAATGGTTAGAGTTGGAAGGGACCTTAAAGATCATTGAGTTCCAACCCCCCTGCCGTGGGCAGGGAAACTTCTCACTACAGCAGGTTGTTCAAAGCCCCATCCAGCCTGGCCTTCAACACCTCCAGGGATGGGGCAGCCACAGCTTCTCTGGGCAACCCATTCCAGTGCTTCACCACCCTCACAGTAAAGAATTTCTTTCTAGTATCTAATCTAAATCTCTTCTCTTTCAATTTAAAACCATTACCCCTCATCCTGTCGCTACACTTCCTGACAAAGAGACCCTCTCCAGCTCTCTTGTAGGCTCCCCTCAGATACACGAAGGCCGCTATAAGGTGTCCCCGGACCCTTCTCTTCTGCAGGCTGAACAACCCCAGCTCTCTCAGCCTGTCTTCATAGAAGATGTGCTCCAGCCCTGTGATCATTTCAGTGGCCTCCTGCTGGACCTGTTCCAACAGGTCCATGGCCTGGAGATGAGACCCAAGAAGCAAGACTGTGGAGGTGGTGCAGGTTGGACAATACCACCAGGGAGAGTCCAGCTGCAGGAGGAGGGTGGCAGGGATGGCATCAACTCATGCTCAGGGCCCCACAGTCTGGTCAAGGCTGCTGGCATCTTCCCACAGGACAAATCTCATCAGAAAGTGTCTGGACAAGCAGCACTGGTGATGACATACTGGGAATGAAAGGGAAGCAAGCAGGGACCTGGGGAGGAGAGTTGCCAGGCCTGGATCCTCTCTCCCTTACCCGCACATGTTATTGTTTAGGCAAGAGCAAACAACGCATCAGGAGAAGACTGAAGGGGCTTTTCCTCACCTAGGTTCTCACCCTTCCCAATGGTCCACATGTCCCATCTCCTCACAAAAATCTGAGCAGGTCCCTGAGCCCCTGCCAGCCAGGTCCAGAGCTAGTGTCAAGGGAGCTGTGCCCATGGAGAGCAACCCCTTGCCTTGGCATCAAGCAGAGGCAACCACCAGACAGATGGTCCTTGCACTGGTAAACATGCCTATGACATACTCACAGTTCCCATGGACTCCTCTGCACCAGGGAGCAATGTGAAAAGGCCATGTGAGGGCTGAAAAAGGGAGAGTAGCTTTTTACCCCCATGGAGATGCTCATCTTGCCTGTGGGTGGAGGTGCAGCCCTCCCTGGTCCCTTCAGGAGCAACATGTGCAACACAGGGGGAATGTTGGTGACAGAAAAAGCCCCCATACACAACCTCTTTGGAGGCAGGGGACAGAACCAGTTCCAGTAAAGCCCTTGAAAGGGGTATTACAGCACCAAATGAGACCAGCGTAGCATTTTCCTTTTGCTATAGAGAAGCAGACGAGTGTTTTCGTTATGGACCTTCAATCCTACCTCCTGGCTGGGAATGTCCATGCCAGGTCAGGCCCTGAGACTGCAGCAGATTGTGCCTGCTGTGCCTTCTGCCCCTTGAGTGCCTCCTGGGAAGCCTCTAAGACAGCTTTCACCATGCCTGGGAGAGACCAGAATGCTCTCATGATCTGAGAGCTCTCATGATCTGAGAGCTATGAGACCTGACAGCTAGAGAACAACCCAAAGCATGCTCAGTTTCCTTGCACAGATGGAGCCTTGCCTTTCTCTCCTGTTCTTGTGTACAGTCGTGAGGAGAGGGGCTGTTTTCTTAGCCCTCTAGGAAAGCTCTTCAGTTATAACACCTTGTTATTCCATGACGTGTGAAATAGGTGTCCCAAATGTGGGTAAAGGACTGCAGGTGATTCAACCGATGCTCCAGACCTCCTCACACCAAAGTGATCCCTGCACTTAGCCCCCCTGATCTACTGAGGGCACGTCTGCACCATCCATTAGCAGATCCCCATCCTGCCCCGCCAGCCCCTGCGAGTGCAGTGACGGTAAACAAGGAGCAGGAAGGGGACAGCTGGGGACAGAGAAATGGGAGGACACACAACATTTTTCACTGAATCCAGCTCTTTGCCGGGACCCGAGGTTTTTGGCATGGCAACGACGAGCTGCCTTCTCCAAGGAAAGTGGCTGCTTCCCTCTAAAGAGATCGTTGACATTTTGTATCAGAAAAACTCCTTAGTTTACCAAGCACTGAACCCGGCTGTTTTTTGACAGATTTCCAAGAGTTAGGCTCTGGAGTAGGGACAGCTGCCGCAGGGCTGGAGGAGGGACAGCCAGCCAGGACCACATACCTGGCCCAGTACACCATCTCCTCCTGTCCTTCACTGTGGGGTAAGGGCAGCCTGCTGCCAGAGCTGAGGCCTGGCTCACCACATCCTTGAGACCCATAGAAGACAAGGACTTGGCAAGGATCTGTGATGAACGGCAGCATCCGCTCTTTTACAAGCCGTTCCTCAAACCCTGATGGAAACAGATAAGCCGGCTTTCAACATCTAAGAGATCACTGCAAGCCTCTTCTCCCCCAGCTTTCCAAGGAACGGGGCCAGAATACCACAGAGGCTCCTTGTCAGGGTCGCCTGCAGCCAAGAATGAACCTGACCCACCACAGGCTGAGCCTCTCCTGCAGCCCCTGTCCCTCTCAGGGACCTGAATCAGCTGCAGCAGTTCAACCCAGGTGCAGTTCCACGCTGAGCATCCCCCTCCTCCCCAGCCATGGCCCCCCCGTGGGTCACCAAGCGAGCAGCAGGAAGGCTTCTGCCCAAGCAAGCACCATTTATCCTTTCCCACTCCCGCTGTTTGTCTTGGCCTCTCTTCCCATACCTCCCTTCCTCCTCTGCCTCCTCCACCTCGGGATTGTATTGCTGGGGCTGTCACTATAGTTAATGAGCTGGGACATGAGCTAGCGCTCTGGGAAAGTCACACCAAGAAACAGCCAAACCCAGGACCACTGTCAGTGCACAGGTACCAGGGAGGAGAGGACCCCCAGAGGGGGGAACACCTGAAACAGAAACCCCAGCCGCCAACCAAGGGAGCCACCAGACTAGGGGTACAAAAAGGCCAGGGTTAAGCTCGTGTTCAACATGTCTCAGCAAAAGCCATCAGGTGCCTGCACATCCCCTGGCTTGCACAATCCAGCCGCTGCACCACCAGGGATGCCATCTCTTGCCTTCAGGAACAGTCCCTGAGCCATCTCACTCCCAGCCTGTGCCCAGGCTTGCTGGCTGGCACAAGAACCTAGCCAGAGACAGTGCAAATAACTTAACCGTGTGGACAGTCATGTTTAAGACAGTGGTCTTTAGAAGGAGAACATGGCGCCTGGCTGTTGACCATGCAAACCCCACCTATGTATGTTCAACCCATGTTTCACCCAAACGGGAAGGTTTTGTATAGATATTGCATGGTGTGGGCAAAAGAGCAGTTCCCAAGGGAATGCATCAAGGTACTTTCACTGAATTTCACTGAATTTTAGAGTTGGAAGGGACCATAGAGATCATCTAGTCCAACTCCCCTGCTGAAGCAGGATTGCCTAGAGCTAGAGCATGTTAACTGAATTTCACTGAATTTTAGAGTTGGAAGGGACCAACTGCTGCTTTGGGGCAGCAAGACCAGTGCACAGTCCCAGGAGACCCAAGGCTTGAGAGGAAACTGGCCAGGGATTCCCAGCTCATTGGTGATGAGGGGCAGGAGATGGTGGACTGCCCACAGACATGTCCAGGAGCAGTTGTCTTCACCTGCCTCCATTTCCCCAAAAGCTCTTTCTCTTCCCCTGCAGCCCAGCTGCAAGCAAGCACCCCGGTGCCAACTACCAGTCCTGACTGGCCACGCTGTGTCCCGTTTTCCCTTCATTGCAAGGACAAAGCTCCTGTTACCACAGCTCTTCATCCACATCCTACGCTCTTGTGGGAGCTGAGAACTGTGGAGCTCCAGCCTGGCGGCCTCACCAGTGGGGCTGAGAGTGGTTTGAGCTGGGTGGTGCAACACTGGCATGGTCTCTCCCACCCCATCTCTGCCATACAACCCCCTGAGGACATGCTCTGGCAGCCTAGCCAAGCAGCGCAGAGCAGGGTGTCCACCTCACCACAGTCCTGAGACCCCCCAGAAGACACCTGCAGCCCAGCTGCTGTAGAATGTGTCCTTCACCCCCATGAAAACCACTTTATGCCCCTCCTTGGCTGTGTGCCCCATGCTCCAGGCTGCCCATTGGGTTCAAACACAAGACAGGTCAACCACCCACTGCTTTTTTCTTTTTATTTAACAAAATCACAGCATGATAAAAAAAAAAAGAAAGAAAAGAAGCAGCTGACACACATAATTGTTTCATCAAACAGATCTAGCAGCAAATACCTGAGAGTGAAACAAACACTGCTCATGCATCCCAAAGCCCAGGCTGTGAGCACAGTGGCAGTCCGGGGGGACCAAGAACAGGGGCAATGTCCCTGAGGAGTGCAACATCACTGCCCACTCTGCCACCGCCACATTTCTACCCAGGTAAGGAAAGGCAGGAGGAGAAACAGTGCAGGGAAGTCAGGGCAAGAGAGAGGCCATGCTCTGCCTGGGAACATCTATGTTGGGCTCAGTGGGGGAGCAGCAGAGTACATGGCCAGCAAGGAACATCCCCATTCCTCCACTCCATCCCCACACTGTTCTGTCCTGGCAGCCAAGGATGCAGAAGGACTGCAGAAGTTTGGGGGCTGATGCTGGAAACCAAAGGGACCAGACTGGTGCTGGAGATCACAGCTGTTGCAAGGGAAGGCTGAGATAACCCCCCGCCCCCCCCAAACTTGTCTCCCAGGACAGTCCATCAACTGGCTTCCAGGCTGCAAAGGTTCTGGTCCAGCAGCCCTGGCTCAGCCTGATGCAGGTTGCTGGATCCCACCAGAGAGAGAGGGAAGAAGAGAGAACAGACAGGACTTTGCCCAGCTCTGTGCACTGGCACAAGTCCCAAGGAGGGTTGGCCTTGTGGCTGAAGGTGGAAGCAGGTCAGCTCCATTTGGTTCAGATTCACAGCTGGGAGCCAGCCCCGCTCCAGGCTCTGGGGCCAGCTATGGGTTTCTTTGGAGACTACTTGCCTTGGGCTTTGGCCTGAGAAAGTGAAAAACCAAGCTGTGATGAGTGTGATCTTTGGAGCAGGAGCCTCCCCAGCGTCTCTTCCACATGGTCGAGGTGGTCACCAAGGGGTCACCTCTCTTGGCCAAGCCATGATGGTGAAGTGGGGACCTAGCTAGGCTTGCAAAGCACCCATCAAACTCACTACAAGCCCTCCCCATGAAGATGTGCAAGTTGCAAGCTCCAAGCTTGCAGGGCAGAACTGGAGCAGAGGGATTTTGCTGCCCCCATTCCCAGCTAAGAACAGGAATGGCTCTTACCTTCCTGGCAGAGATGGCATCCAGCTTCTCTCGGAGGTGAATCACCCATGGGGCTTGGAGCGGGGCACAGAGACGTTTGCCCTTTGTGGTGATGAACCTGCCAGGTCCATGGGACAAAAAAAAATAAATGAACAGGACACTCCAGGGATCTTCAAGCACAGCTCAGCTCTCAACCACTGCACTCCTCCAACTCTACCTTGGGATGACTTTCTTCCCTGACTTTTGTCCCAGGTTTTCCCCTCCTGGCAAGTCCTGCTCTGATTGATCCTCTGATCTCCAGGGTCTCCTCCACAACCCTCTCTATTCCCTCCGCCCCAAATGCGGCTCAACATCCCTCCTCCACCCTGCTCTGCCTCCGCCCCTGCCCTCCCGTGGGGTCCATCCCTTGGCCATCACCAGCCAGGGGCTCTTGTCCCTCAGCCATCACCACCCTGGGGCTCTTACACAGCAGCCGGGATGTTGCAGCCATCCTGCACCAGCTGGAGCCGGTAGTCCTGCACTATCCGCCGCGGGATGGGCGTCTCGCTCGTCCGCAGGCAGCAGTCAAGGACGTTGTTCCCGCCGTGCACTGGAGGAGGAACACACCATGTAGGCTGAGGATGCTCTCCAGGGGTCAGCTGTGCCTTCACCCAGCCTCCCCTGAGGGAGAAGGGGCTGCGAGGCCACCCCGGAGGAGCAGGGCAGGATGGTGCCACCAGCGACGTTCTCGCACACTGGCCCGGCTGCACATGCAGCCAGCAGCTTTATTGCTCCCACACCCTGGTGCCAGGAGCCCTTTGCCTCCTTCTGACAGAAATCAAAGGAGATGAGAAACAGCAGATTGGCAGAAGGCCACCCTTCTGCATGCCTGGGTCCCTCCTGCACCCCCAGGGCCAGCGCCAGCAGCAAGCAAAGCAGGACAGGATGCTTTACTTCAGGATGCTGCAGTAGGAGAGGGGACCTCGGTCACCCTCCAGGCAAATGCTGTGTTCACTGTTAATGCCCATCCAGTCTGGCAGTGCCCAGGGGTGCCTGTAACCCCAGGTAGCACAGTGTGGTACAACACCTCAAGGCATCTGTGACCCCCAGCTCTCCACAGAGGGCCTGGTGTCACCCACCCAGACAGCTGTGACCTGTGCAAAGCCCGTGTCCAACACCTGCAGCCCCTCAAACACAAACTCTTCCCTAACACCCACCTTCCATCCCACTCCCAGCTCTGCCACTTTCCCCTCAGGTTGCCCCACACCAAAGGGTGCCAGGGATGGTGTGCTGGGACGAATGGGTGTGCACAGGCTGGGCTAGGGCACTGGGAGGCAGGATTGCTCCACGGCCTTTACCAAGCACAACTTTCCAGCCTCAATGCTCTGCAGGCTCCTGCCTGGACTTTGGGCAGGTCAGAGTCCCTCTGGGATAAGTTACAAGCAGAGGACACAGGAGGGCCGTGACGGAGCCCCAGCCATGAATCCCTCTAAATGTCTATTAGAAACAGAAAAGAGAGTAAGAAACTGGATCCTCTCCCTTCCACAAGAAAGGCAGCCTGAAGGGTTCCCTCTTACCATTCAGGATACATCCCAGGACCAGGAGGCTGAGGCAGAGGAGGTGCAGCCGCTGCATTTTGCTTCTGAGTCTGGCAGAGGATGGGGCTGGAGGTGACGTTGCTCCGGGCAGGAGAGGTGAGCTCTGCACGGCTTCCCTGCGCTCTGCTGCTGGTGCTCCACGCTGCCTATTTATCTTTCTAGCCCGTGGCTTTCACTTTCTCTTGGGAAGAGGGGTGGGAAGTTGCAACAAGTCTTGCTACAGGCTGGATTTTAATCTTTGAGCAGTTCCCGAATATCTGGGCGGCTTTCCCTGCAGACAGCTGCTCCACGGACCCAGAGCCAAACACCCTCCTGCCCTCTCCGGCACCCAGGCCGCCAGGGCTGCTGCTCAGGGGCAGAGCAGCTCCAGGGTCCCTTTACCCTGCCAAAGTACACGGGCAAGCACGTGGGGAGTCCCACCCCATACATTTCCCAGTCCCTTCTCCAAGACATCTCTGGGATGTTCCCATTAGATACCACATGGCCTCAACCCACTGATGCTGGAGGTAGAACTTGCCTCAACCCCATCTTTTGGGGTATATATCAGTACTGGGGTGATGCCTGGCTCACCCTGAGCACCTCCCTATCTGGTCACAGGTCCCTGGTTGGCTCTCCTTGCCCTTCCCACTGCCTGCACAGGGGGACACATCCGAAGCTGATGGATGGAGGAGAGCCCAGCCAGCATACTCCACTCCAGGGCTGCGATGGCACATGCCGAAAGACAACCTGGTTTCCAGGTGTCCCAGAAAATGGGCTCACAGCCAAAGGCAGCTGCAGAGCTTCCTGGAAATGGGTTTTCTCGGCACAAGAGGAGAAATCCCCCCCAGAGGCTGTGTGCATGGCACGGGGTGCCAGCAGCTCACCGGCTGCTTGGGCGCTGCAAGGAGCGAAGACCAGCGCTTCCTTTGCAAACCTTTTGCGGGGGCACAGGGATGGAGGCTGTTTTTCCTTGGGATGGTGACTCAGCACCATGCCAGTGGCACCTGGGATGATACCCCTTCACCAGAGGCTTCAGCCCTGATAGATACCATGTGGGATGCTGAGAGCAGCTGGGTTGTAGGGGCTTGGAGAGATACCAGAGACAGGCTCTTCTTGGAGGGACTCAGGGACAGGATGAGAGTCAATGGCATTAGTTGGACTCAGGGAAATTCCCACAGATAATAGGAAAAATATTTTCCCAGAGAGGTGAACAAATCCTGGAGAGGGACCTCCATCCTTCCACCCTCTCCCTTGCTCCAGCTTTGACCTATTCTGGCACCTCTCCACCTCTCCTGGTGAAGAGCACTGCACAGCCCTTCCACAGGAACAAATATCTACCTGGGGACTGGACACAGGGCTGGGACCCTAAGGACCTCTGCTCCTCTCAGCAGTAGGAGATAGTGGGCTCTGTCCTCTCCCCACCCCCGGTAAGAAGCAAGAGAGGACTCCATCCACTGGTCAACGTGCTCCATCCCTGGACTGGCACCAACCTCGCGCATGGGGTGATTTCCTCCATCGGGAGAACATCGCCTCCGGCCACCGCTGTGCCCTGGCAAGCCGGTGCCTTGCTGAAGGGATTAGGCAGGTGCTGGTGGGCAGGATGAGCAGCACAAATAGGAAGTGTCAGCTTAACTTCAGTGAGCACCTGCATTCTTCTAGCACTCACAAGCTATCGGAGAGAAGTCTTGGCTAGCAGAAGGGGAATTTAGGTGGCGGAGGATTAGCATCAGTCATCAGCCCCAGCCTCCCTGCAGGTCTGGGGATGCAGGCTGGCTCGGGGACCTGATCTCTGCTTGTTCTCCCCTGGGATGCTGCCAAAGAGATGCCAAAGCAGGGAGGATGACAGCTCCTGGGTGCTGGTGACCAGACCTCTAGAAGCAACAGCTCCCAATCCAGAGCCAGCTCCTCCCTGGAGGCAGGCCTGATGGGACAGACCCCCCTGCAAAGGGGGGACCCCAAGAGCAGAGCCTGACCCACTGGAAAAGGGTGCTGGAGATGCTGCCTGACAGCAAACCCTTTCCTCCTTGTATGTTGGGCGGGTTTGGGAGCTACCCGAGGGCTGGCAAGGAGTGCTGGAAGTCCCATCCTATGGGACTCCCCTCCCAGTCTTGGTGCCCACAGCAAGTGATGGGGGTCCCCAGCCCCTTCCCTGGCACAAGGAGCTCCCACCAGCTGCTGGCTCCACACTGAAAGCAGCATGTTCAGTCTTGGGAATACATCCTTCTGGGGGTACCTTAACTACCTCTGGCTGCAGGGTACCCCCTGCCCTTGAGCTGCCCACAGTCTCTGCTGACACATGGTCAGGAAAGAGAGTCTGTCACCTCCCCGGCAGCTGTCTGCGTGCCAAGTGGGTGAAAGCGCGGCTGCTCCAGCCACCTCTGCTCCCCAGGAGGGGCTTGGGAGAGTGAGGAAAGGGGCTTTCCACTCGTGTTGTGAAAGGGGAATGTGATGGGTTTCCCCCCCTCCAGCAGAGTCAGTGAGATTTCTAAGAAGAGAGTGGTCATCTCTGGAGTGCATCCCTGTGGCATCCAGGGAGGTCACCCCATCCCCCTCGTAGAGCCTTGGGGACCAGTAGAGACAGCACAAATGAGAAAGAGGAGATGCTTTGGGGGTCCAGGCTCTCCAGAGGCACACACAGGCAGGGAACAGGCAGGGGATTTGGTGTGAATTGAGAAGAGAGGAGAGCATCGTGTGTGCTGACCCATTTAAGCCTCAATCAGAGCAATTTAGGAGCGTTGGAGCTCCAGCCCTGAGGACACTACAGGCAATGCAAAGCATCCCTGAACACTCATCCCTGCAAAAGCCTCAATAATGCCATTGTTAATTAAAGTTGAAATTGTGCATGGGGGAGGATCCCCATGGGAAATTCAACCCGTCAAAATGTAAATGGACCATATGAGTATCACCTCCATCCCCAGGCTCTCCTCGTGGAGCACCAGCCATGCTGCCACCCTCCCGGAAGCTGTGGGAGCCCCCGGGGTGACTGCTCCCTGCCAGGCTCGTGGGCTCCAGCGTGCTCTCTGGGGTGCCTTGCGGTGCTCCACTTCCCACCTCCAAGCCATGGAGCTGGAAAGGGCAAAGGGGGAATTTCAGCAAATTCCAGGCACAGTCAGTCCCTGGGGCAGGATCTGGCCTGGCTGCATTTACCTTATTGGGAAATACTGGGCAGACATTGCAGCTATTTCAATTTCCCTTGCGTCTCCCGGCATGGGGAAAACTCCCGCATGGTTCCCACTGCTGTCCCTGTCCTGGTGTGACATGGGGACTCCAGCAACCACCAACCTCTGGGGCTCAGGGACCCACTGGATCTCCTCTAGCTGAGGGAACCTGGTCAATCTGATTTAAATGGAGTTAAGGCCAAATAAAGATCAATCCATGACCTTGCCCAGGGGGAGCAAAGATGATCCTGAGGATCTGGCTAAGAGGGATGCAGAAGGTGCCAATTTATAGTCTGTTAGAGCCCATCTGTGCCTACCACTCATTGCCTTCAGCACCATTGATGTTGAGGTCACTGTAGGTGACGGGCAGCAGAGCCAAGACCCTTCAGCTGGGTCCCGCTCAACCTCCTCAGGTGAGACCCATCTCCTGGGGTACCTGGAATGCTCAAGTCCCTCACCATCATCTTCATGCTGTGCAGTTTCCCAGTCAGATGTTTCCTGCTAATGTCCTTACACATGCTGTGATGGCATTGAGATGGCAGTGGCCAGGTGGGATGCCCACAGTCCTGGCTCCCTGTCATCAGGCCACTTGTCCTCCTTGCTGCAACCCTTCAGGGGCTTCAGGAGAGGATGACTGGGGAGCAGCGAGGAGACCTGTGCAAAAAGAAGCCTGTCAGCAATCACCTTGTAATCTCCCATGTGCCTTGGCAGGAAGGATGCCCGATGAGGCTGCACCCCAACATCACTTTTGGACAGATCTAAAAGCGCATAGGATGGACCAAAAGCCCTGAAGGCTGCTGTCTTTCACTGCTCTCTTGGCTCTTAGGCTGACACCAGGCAAAGGAGGCCGTGGGGTTCTCATTCTGCTTCAGGTTTGGGATGCAGCTGATGTTTGCCCTGCTGGAGGACATCCTCAGAGGAATGCACATGCTCCTCTATCACCCCTCGGAGAGCTGCAGCCCAGGAGCTAGTCTGCAATCCCCAGCAGGATGGGAGGCATACAGAGGGATGTGGGGGTCTGGCAAGTGGAAGGAGGACACACCAAAGCCAAGGGGCTCCAGCCAGCAAAACAGAGGATGGGGGAAGGAGGGCACATGGGAACTACATGTAGGTGAAGAAAGGGTTGAGAAGAGGCTCTGAGCCGCAGACCTCTAGGACAGGATAGATGCCAAGGGTTGGCTGGGATTGGAAATACCTTGGAATGGGAAAGATGGAGTCCCTACTGCCCACCAGCTGCTTCTCGACCTCCTCTCGTCTGACAACACCATGGGCAGAGCCCAGGAGAGCAGTGGTGGTGGAGGGAACACCAAAAAACACCTTGAAGCTTCAGCTGGAAAACACAGGCCCCTTCAGCAGCCACGTGGCCCCAGAAACAGCTCTTGGCACCCAGGGAGCTGCTGCAGGGTAGTCAGCTCCTGCTCCTTGGGACAGCACGGGGCAGAGGGACGGACCCAACACCCGTGTCTCCAGGTGAGTCCTGCTGGACCTCAGCCCAGCATCGCAGCCCAGCACGCTCTGCCACTGGCACAAGCCTAGACCGTCGTCTGTGCTGGCTAATGACTTGAGCTAATCATTTGGCCTGGGCTCAAGCCTTCTCTTTTCTTGGCTGCACTCTCTGGTTTCTGTCTTGCCTGGCTACTTTCTGCTGTCGCTGGAGCCTCTCTGCTCCAGGGTGGCCCAGCTCTCCCAACTTGTCGCTCTGCTTGACAGGGTTGCAGCTTTCTTGCCCTACCTGCAGAATGTCTAAGGGGCACATCTACCCCTCTCGCACACCCCAGTGCACACCGCATCAACGCTGCCTTGCCTTCGCATGTGGGGCAAAGTGGTGGGTTTGCTCTGCTGTGGGTACAACAGGGCAAATCCTCCTCTGCTGTGGGTACAACAGGGTGAATCCTCCTCTGCTGCATCGTCTTGGGGCATCTTCCGTACATCACTGGTCTCAGCTGGGCTCTGTGGGTTCAGCTCCTCCGTGGGGAAGGGGTTTTGGCCCCTCATGTGTGCTCCACATCCCAGCCTCTAGCAGGGAATCTCCTCAGAGGTGTTTTCCCCCACGGCCACCTGCCTCGCCAGCAAGAGGCTCCCGCTGACCCCGACACCTTATTTTTCTTAAAAGCAGCGTTCTGCAGGAAAGCTGGAAGCAGTGTGGAAGCGCCGTGCGTGCGCAGGCACGGGCACACGTGGGGCTGCATTTGTGCATCTGTGTCTCCCTGCTCACACACACACAGGGGTCAGTGCCCGAGCGTGGGACAAACTCCGACGCTCTTCTTCCACAAGCACTGCCGTTAGGGTAAAATTTATGGTAAATTAGAGCACCCTGGCGTGCATGTTTCATACCCTGTCTTAGCCTAAAACTCACCAAACATTTGACGGGGGAAAACCCACCCCTGTGGCGTTTACCTCTGCAGCCAGAGAGACACCAGGAGGCATTTCACGTGTGGGTGGCTCCAGCCTCTGCTCAGGCTTTGCTGTTTGTGGTTGCAGACGTACTCAGCTGGGCCTCATTTCCAGGGGGTTTTTGCAACCATTTCACAATCCCCCTGGCTCTGTGACCGGCCCAAGAAGGAGTCCCGCAGAAAGCAGGGATGCAGCGCGTCCCCAGCAAAGGCAGGGCTGCCTCCGGCCCTCCCACGGCAGCTCCGGATGGTGTCTGTTCCCAGGGTCCCAGAAAAGCCCAGGCCAGAGCACTGCCTCATTAATAACTCGCTTTAAAGCTGTTTTCCCAAAGCAGCCCACAGCACAGAGCCTCTGCTTTGAGCACGTGGTGCTTGTTCAGGGTCAGAGCCGGAGGGATGGGCTCAGCCGTGAGCAAAAAACACCCTGGAAAAACACCCTGGACAAAACCACGTCGTGCCCCCCGAGTTTGCTGGCATCTCAGGACCTCTTGAGGGAGGTCCCAGCCCCTGCACCCCAGGGACACAGTACCCAGGGGGAGGGTGCTGCAAAAACCAGGACTTGGGGGATGAAAGTGTGTGGGGCAGTAGAACAGCTCCTGACCCCCCCCCAAATCCCGTGCAAACCTTCCCACCCCACCGCAGCCCATCACAGCAGCCAGGAGGAGTGAGTTTGGTTGTAAAGAATATATTTTATTGCCTCGCATCGCATCCAAAAGCCAGGTGGCAGTCGGCCGCGTGCTCCCACGTGGCGGGGAAGGCAGCACGGAACCAGCTCAACGACCGTTCCCTACTCAGGGCCGGTATCTTGGACTTCACAGTTTCTTTACACAGCCTTAAAATAATAAACCTAAATGCCCGTCTAATAAAGCAATCAAGGCAAACCTTACCACCCCACTGCAGCCCATCACAGCAGCCAGGAGGAGTGAGTTTGGTTGTAAATATATTTTATTGCCTCGCATCGCATCCAAAAGCCAGGTGGCAGTCGGCCGCGTGCTCCCACGTGGCGGGGAAGGCAGCACGGAACCAGCTCAACGACCATTCCCTACTCAGGGCCGGTATCTTGGACTTCACAGTTTCTTTACACAGCCTTAAAATAATAAACCTAAATGCCCGTCTAATAAAGCAATCAAGGCAGATAAATGTGCTTGATAGAATCACTCAGCTGCAAGCTTTACTCTAGCCAACACACAGCCTTTGCTGATACTGTTAAGCCCCGCAAATCCTATTATTGCAATTATATGACTTAATAGACCTTTACTGACCAAAGTCCACGTCTTAAGTCTCTGCAAGCAGATAGCACTGCGACTGCGGCACAGCCTTTCAACTTGCTCCTGCTCAACAGTATTGGAAGGGGTTTGCAAGCACAGGGAGATGCCGTTTCCCCGCCAACCCTTTCCATGGGATCTGTGTCCATGGGATTTGTCCCCTTCTACTTCCCATCTCACCTTATGGTGTCCCCAGGTTAATGACTTCTCATTTTGCTACAGGTTTGGGACAGGGCTGCTCTCAAGTGACTGCAGCGTGTCTGCGATGAATTTTGCAAAGTCTTCTGTTTTCCGACATGAACAGCCTCACATGCAGTTTTCAGTATGTAGGCTTTTTAGACTTGGGAAGAAAGTATATGAGAGCTTCTTTTTTCTTTTTTTTCCTTTTTTTTCTTTTTTTTTGTTTTTAAGAAAATTAAGCATTTGGCTTAATAATGTCTGAATCTCTGACAACAGCAAAACCAAAGGAGATAAAAGGGTATAATTGCATTAAAATGAACAATTTGTTCTGACTTCATCTCATTTTTGTACCTAAAAAAAAAATTTAAAAATCAAAGGTACAAAATCCTGTCTGTCTTCCTCCAAACTACACTGCAAGAGTGCACTATAGAAGCCAAAGGGAAAGCCTAGAGGAGCCCAGACATACAGCTACACTGTCCCCCCAGCTGTCCCCAAACTCTGCGTCTCAGCCGCTGTTAATTGCCCAGTGAGGAAGAACCCAGCAAGCAGCCCGGGCAGGACCACGGGGACATGGGACCTGCCTGGCACCCCACAGCCCTGCAAGCCAAAAGGAGCAAACGGGTGAGCAAAGGGAAATGAAACGCAGCCATCGTTTATTTGGTAGAAAAATAAAAGCAATTTTCCAGAAAAGCCAGCCTGCAGCATAAAGGGTACTCTGTGAAGCACAAGGAGCCAGAAGTAGAACCCTCCAGGAAGATTGAATGAAAGCACAGTCTTTAAACATAAATACAAATGTATAAATCCCTCCCCACCCCCCCAAAAAAAAAAAAAAAAAAAATAAAGACAACATTGGGATCCTCTCACCTAACACAGCCCACGTGACTTCCTCAGATCCATTTTGCTTTGAACCAGGACAAATCTTATAAAGGAAGATAATTAACTGCTCTCAGTTAAAGCTTTGCTCCCTTTTCCTCCTCCAGACAACTGCTCTTCACAGGAAAAGCTGCCATCCTGCCAAGCTACAGAAATCCCCTCTGGCAGGAAGGCTGCCCACTTTCCCCTCGGGGCCACGGCTCAGCTCCCACATGGGTCCAGGTCCCCGCTGGGGTGGCCAAGGGGCAAGTGGGGACCTGGGGGTGCCCCCCGCCACCGAGAGCACCCAGCCGGTGCAAGGGTCCCGGCTGGGGGGATCTCTGCGGCACACGTGGCAGTGCAGAGGGGGCTGCAGAGTGGAGGGCAGCCCCCCTACCTCCCCCCCGGCCAGCCCTGTCCTTGCCCCGGGGCTGGTGGGTGGTGTGTGGATGTCCATTGCCAGGCGTTGGGTCGGTCGTCGGTGGGGAAGGCATCCGTCCTAGGGGAGAGGGCGACAAGGAGGGGGCGGTGAGGTGGGGAGGGTCTCAGCAGGAACACCCACCCCAGCCAGGTGGCCCTTGCCTTGCATGACGGGCTTTGCCCGTCCCCAAGCATTGTCTTGTCCCAGCAGCTCCAGCTTCCCATGGAGAAGGATCTGGCATGGGGGGCAGCACCATCACGCCATCACCCTGCTCTGCAACCCCCGCTCCCCCGTACCTCTTCAGGCCTGACTTAGACCCGCTGCCTCTTCTGCCTCCTGGGTCTGCCCCCAGAACGTGGGTACTGTCCCTTCTTCCTGTCCTTCTTGTCATTCTTCACCCTCTTGTCCAAGTTCTGCATCAGCATCTGAATAGCAGGATCAGTGGGAGAAGCGCAGATTTTCTTATTCTTCTTGGTGATAAACCTGGGGGTGCAGGCAGAAAGGTTTAAACCTGGAGGGCAGGCAAACAGGGGGACACAAGAAGGAAGGTCTTGGCTGGAGCCAAACTGCTCCAGGTGGTTGCAACCACAGTGGAGTACTCACACAACAGAACGCAGCAAACATCCCGACTCGGGTCCCTGGAGGATGTAGGACTTCACCAAGCCCCTGGGGATGGCAGCCTGGCTGTTCTTCAGGCAACAGTCCGAAGCCGAGCTGCCAATGCCTTGGGGAAAGGGGAAAAATCAGATTGGGATTTCGGACCCTCACTGAGCCAGGACACCTTCCCAGCTCCAGGGGAGCACAGCATGGCTGGTTGAAAACACGGCGCTTGCTTGGTGTCTTTCATGGAAGAGATGTTGGGGCAGGATGTGAGGGTGGGAGCTCCCAACCCCGGTTGCAGGTCAGACCCTGCCCTGGGCATATTGTGACACCAATTCCACTGCCAACGGAGGCAGAAATGGGCTCCTTGCAAAGGGACTGAACCTCGTTTTCCTGCCTGCGCCATTCAGCTTGGAGTTCTGCTGCCCCACCACCCACGTGTGCACACACACGTGTGCTGCCAAGCCAAGCAACCATGGGAAGCCACCAGGTGTGCACACACACACACACACAAACGTGCACCCCAGAACCCTGCAGAGACCCCACTGAGCAACGTGTGCACACACACGTGTGCTGCCAAGCCAAGCAACCATGGGAAGCCACCAGGTGTGCACACACACACACACACAAACGTGCACCCCAGAACCCTGCAGAGACCCCACTGAGCACTCATCCCCTTCCCCCAGTCCCACCACGGGCAGGCAGGAGGTCTCGGTGCCCCTCACCTTGAGTCTGGACGATGAGGATGGTAGCGGCCAGCAGCAGCAGGGGCAGGAGGAGGCGCAGAGCCATGGTGGGTGCTGAGCTGGGCAAGAGGCAAGGGAGCAGGAGACGCACTGCAGCCTGGTGCCGAGGCTGCTCCTATTTATCTCCGGACGTTTTGCTTTCATTTTCGGCCAGCCTGGCAGGCAGCCCACCAGCCGGCCGAGGGCTGGGTGATGGAGAAGTGGGAGGGTGGGGGATTCCTGTAAGCTGTGAGCCCCCCCCTCTCCTTTACGGATGTGTCCTGTCCTGTTCCCGGCTGCCCATCACGGCACGGGGTGCCAGGTGGGGGGCACTCTGGGGACAGGGCCCCCATCACGGCCAGATGAGTTTGTAGGCTCCTGTTTCCTATCCGGTCCCGTAACCTGCCGCTACCTGCTCACTGCTTGCCTGTTTGTTCTCCAGACAGGGACCCTGGCAGGTGGCCAAGCCATTAGGGAAACCAAGGAGCCAATCTGTTCTGCTTCCCCCACCTCATGCTCTCCTCCCGAAGCCAAGCCACCCACCCCAGAAAGGTTGAGAAGGGGCTCAGTGTGACCCCACATCCCCATCCCCTGAGCCCCCGTCCTTGTCCAGCTGCCTCAAGGGGCCTCCCCAAAGAGATGAACACATCTGTAGGGCTGGGATGTGCATGCGCTGGGCTGCAAGTGGGGCTGGGGGTGGCAGCACAGCCCACCATTAACATTGCTGCTAATGTTAAATTGTGGAGAGCTGAGGATGAGTGGCCACCTCAACCCACTTGAGGAACAGACTGATGGGAGCCTCTTGAGATTCAACACAAAATGTGAAGTCCAACAGGTGGGACAGTGTGACCCCATGCAGGGGCATGGCTGGCAAGATGGGGTCTAGGCAGAAGTGGAGCCAGAGGAGCTGAATAGGAACCCTTGGGGCACCTCAGTGGTGGCAAAGGCTATCCAAAGAGATGGTTACATGGCTGGACCAAGCCCTAAACAACTTCATGAAATACCAGTCCTGTTCTGAACAGGGCATAGCCAAAGACCTCCACACTCCCATGTGATTGCCAGGACATTGTCTGAAAGAGAACAAGGATGTGGGTTTCACAACCACTTTTGGGCAACCTGTTCCAGTGCTTGAAGTGGTCTCATGTTGAAAACATTTTCCCCGCTACTTAGTTGGAATTTCCCTCAATCCGTCCATTGCTACTGCTTCTCTCCCTGCCCCAGCACCCCTCTGAGAAGACCCAGGCACCAGTGTCTCTCCAGCTGTTCCAGGCAACCAGTAAGGAGCTCCCTTTGCCACCCCATCCCCAGCTTCACCACCCCACCACTCACAGCTCCTCTTTGCCTGCCCTGGACTCCAGCTCTTTGGCCAGCCCTGCTCCCACTGCTTGGTCACCCATATCCCAGGAACCCCAATGGGACACAGAGCTGTGATGGGGTTTCCTCAATACTGGTGGGGGCCGTGCCCCTCCCCCGGCCCCACTGCCTGGAACCCTGAGGTGCAGCCCCAGGACTTTTCAACGGATCCTGATAAGGACCCTCATAAACAGTTATCAAGGGCAATGAGTAACCCAGGGGGAGACCAAAGTCCCGGCTGCTGTAGAAAGCAGAGATGCAATAAGATGACCAGGCTCTTGCCCCCCTCAGCATGGAGGGGGCAGTCAATGCTGATGTGATGACGGGGGGATCACCAACATCTGCCCTGCAGCCCTCTCTTGGGCAAAGAGACCAGCAAGATGCTGTGGCTTGTTGTCTTACTTGGGGACAAGTTGGGTGCCTGGGGCAGTGTGGGATCCAGGGCTGCAGTTCTGTGACTTCGCCCATCACCTGTGCAGAAGAGAAAAGGAGATTCCACGCCGGGGGTACTCATGTGCCCTGTGGGGCAGCAGCCCATGCACCCATGCAACACTGAGGTCGATGTGGTCACAGGCAGCAGCCCTTGGAACATGGGGCCAGCACGGGCCATGGACTGCAGTGCGTTGCATGTGGGGGCATCTCCCCAGGGTGCCTGGCAGCATGGAGAACTGGGGCCTGGAGGCATCTTATGTGCTGTTACCCATCCCTCCAACACCAAAGCACCAGTGTCATCAGCACAGGGCAGGGAAAGGAGAGCCACACTGTCTCTTACTGCCTTTCCAGCCTTTATTTGTGCAACCTATCCAGGCAGCAATGTCCACCTGAGCCCCTGGATGAACCCTTGCCCATGGCACATCTGGCTCACTGTCCCGCTACAAATCCATGTGCTGGAGAAGCCTGGGAAGCACTGATCCCACAGATCCGTAGCTGTGCATCCTGGTGAAGTGTCTCCTAGATCCTATGTGGTATGAGGACAAGGGATGTGGAGGAAAGGAACACAGGTCACAGGTTGCCCCCAGCATGGACTGGTCCAGCACAGGGCTCTCTCCACTCCTGAAAGAGCCCAGGAGAGCTCTGCAGTTCCAGCGTGGAGCCCACCTCCCTTCCTTGCCCAGTCCCAGGCCATCCATAGCGCCTGGAAAGTCCCTGGCTCTCTGCATGTTTTCAAGACACTGCAGCAGCATCCTCTGGCCAGATGCCAGCCCCAAATATGGTCTGAGCTGCTGACGAGGGTCAGGGCACACGTTCCCTTCACAAGCATCAATCTTTGGCAAGTCTGTAGTTGCTGCAATTTGCACCCTGAAAATGGTAGCCGGCTGAGCAGACCCTCACTCCCATCCTGCCACCCAGGGAAGGTGGACTGGAGAAGACCCAGAAGGGAACAAACAAAGGGCAGGGGTTCTTGGCCGTTGCTCTGGCTGAGCAAAGGAGATGTAACTGCATGTCCGACCAGAAGGGCCCCATGGAAACTGGCATGGAGGTCCATGACCCATCGCTCCTCCTGCCTCCTTTCCCTCAGAGTCCCCCAGTTCACTCCTTCCTCCCCAGGTGCCTTCCTCTGTCACCTGCGCCCCCAGCCCAGGGAGAAATTAGGGACCCTCTAGCAATGAGACAAGGGTGAGCATCCCTCTTTGCCAGGGGAGTCGCAAGGCAGATTGAACTTTTGGGATAGAGAGGAGATGCTGGGGGTGGGGGGTGTGGGCAAGGCTTTTTGGGACTCTCCAACACCAGTAGCCTCCCTGACCAGGCACAGTTTCTTGCAGACACCCACAAAAACACATTTCTCACCACCTTGGGCTCCTGCAGCCACCAGCCTTTTCCCAGAGCTCAGAGGTGCAAGATGGAGACAGACACAGGGCAGGGGCTTATTATGAAGCAATGTCTCCCTTTGTGGTGTCTCAGCCACAAAGAATCTCTTTCTGGCCCTAGGATCTGTGTCAGACACCGTACAGAAGTCTTCACAACAGGGCTTCATGTAAAGGTCCTCCTGGTTCCCCCCATGCTTGGGCAGCCCAGTTCCAGCCCTCTGTACATCTCAGTGATGGAGGCACCTCCAGGCTGCAGGAAGAAGGGAGGGTGTCCCAGGCAGAGACTACGGTGTCCCTGCACACCAAGTGTGCAAAAACTGTAAGACCACAGCAAAGGTCACCAAACTGCCTTGCTTGTGAGTCTTTCCCAGGCAGTGAAACCACGGTGGCAGCTTGCAGGGACTCACTCAAGCCTCCATCCCGAGTGCTTCCCATGTTTGCAGCCAGCACAGGACCCTGGAGTTTGCCTTGTGAATTACTTCCCTGGCTTCCAGCATCTCAGTTTCCTGGCATCTCACCCCGTAATGCCAGGAGAGCATTATGCTCTGCTGACCCCTCAGCCCTCTGCTCACACAGCCCTGGGCAAAAGCCCCCAGCCCGGTCCCGTTTAACCCAACATGCAGGGTCTGCTCCCCGAGTACTGGGAGCAGAGGCTCCTCGGGTACACGGGTGGACTGAAGACATCGAGGGGAGCCAACCAGGGGGGGACTGGGAATTTCCAAATCCTTCTGGATGCTGCCTCCAAGCTAAAGTCACTGCTAACAGGAACAGGGTCGCGCAGCTCAGCTCAACCCACTGACCGGCAAATTCCTTCCTGCAGAGGCCCCAATTCCCAGGACCCGGCGCTGAGGTAGTTTGCAGAGCCCAGCGTGGAAAGCCCCCGTGGCTGGGAAGGGGGTGGTGGGCTGCCTGCCAGGCACACCGTATAGAAACGCCGTATAGCCAAAGGGCCCTGGGGAAGCGGAGAAGAATTGCTGGAAGCGGGCGGCACAGGGGTCCGGCAGGCTCCCTCTCTGGCTTGCCACGCCGTACCCCGGCATTCAGCAGGGCTGATGGGAAGAGCGGGGTGAGCACAAGATGCTGGGAAAGGCAGGGAAGCAGCTCCTCGAGAGTCCCTTCCCCACCCGCAGCTGCTGGAGCCAGCTGGGCTTGGAGATGGTCTCCGACCAGGAGGACTTTGCCCGCCCCAACCCTCCACAAACTGGTGGAAATTTGGTTTTCCAGCTGGCTGTGGGTGCAAGGAGTTAACCCTTTGGTTGCTGGCATGCCTGCAGAGCTGCTCAGCTACTTTGGGGCAGGAGAGGCTCGCTCTTGGGACATATACAGGGAGGATGGGGAAGGGGCTGAGAGGGACCAGAGTGGGTCCTGTGCTGTGGCAAGGTGCCCTCTGCCTGCAGCATCCTGTGTGGTGTGCAGTGCTGCCCATAGTGCTCCCTCGGACTGAAATGGAAGGAGACAGGCAGAATCTGTGTTGTCTCCCTGTGGAAAGCACGTGGTCAGAGTTGCTCGGCTCTCACCCCTCCTGATCCAGGCATTACCCAACACACACGGTCCTTTTGGGGCTCTTGTGAATGTGCACATTTGTCACTGCATCACCACGAAATACATTCGGTGCTGAAAGGGGTGGTGGCGCAGAGCCTGTCCCTCTGTGACACAGCAGAGACCTCCAAGGGATGGCTGAGGTTCCTGGTGGAAAGGGGACACGGGGAGAGACTCCTGCTTTTGGCAGGGATGCTAAGCCAGAGAGTAGAGGACACTGCATGGAAGAGGGAGTGAACGGGTGTTTGCATAACCCTCCAAAAATTGGGCCTCTCTCAAGCCCCGTCACCAACCACAGGCATCAACCCTCCATCCAGAAATCCCACGGTTCGCCGTTTCACGGCGTAAAACTTGGTGGAAACTGCTGGCGCCAACCCAGCCTTCGCTGAAAGTGGAGATGTAACAAGTCATAAATCCTCGCACGGCAAAGTGAGCAGCAGCCCCCAAAGCAAGGCTCGGGGTGCGTGCCAGCCGAGCCAGGAGCTTGGAAGGGGTGGGCTGGCTGGGCTCTGCCCGGGCTGGGAATCCACACACACGTACGCCTCGTGCAAAGGCATCGTCCCTGAGTGTGAATTCAAAGAGACTCAAGAAGCTGCCGGGGAAGGGGGGGGGGGGGGGAAGAAGTAAAAAAAAAAAAAAAGATCTGGCGAAGTGTTGTTGGAGAGGGAGCTGCTCCTTCTCCATCTCGCTGCAGAGAGATGTCAGGCTTTGTTCTTGACATCAGGCAGAGCCGTGGTGCAGACGCCCGGCATCCTCCCGGCAGCCCGCTCTGCCCCACGCTTCTGGCAGGAGCTCAGCTTCCCCAGGCTGGAGAGCCTGGCAAGTTCGTCAGGAGCAGGGGAAACAGAGACAGAGAAATTAAAGACGGCCGAAGGGAAATGAAGCAAAACACGGAGAAGGCTCTGGAGAGTTTGCAGAGGACATTAGAGCAATATGTAAACTAAGAACTGGGCACGCTTCAGCCAAGGCTGGAAAACACCAGGGAAGGACTCTGCTCCTGGTGATGGCTCAGCTGCTCGAGCCAGGGACGCAGCCACCCAACACCCAGGCAGCCGTGGAAAATGCAAAAAGCTGAGAGAAAGCAAAGAGAAAGGAGATGAAGCCCCCACGGGGCTGCCAGCTGCCGGGCAATGACACCAAGCAGAGACCTGCCACATTGCCTGCCAGCATCATGGGCCATGAACACCTGGACCTGGCACCAGAGGGTGCACCGGTGGCCAGGAGGACACTCGAGCAGTATCCGGCTGAGTTCTTCCCAGCAGCCTGCATGGAAAGGAAACAGCTGCTGGAAGGGAAGGGAAGGAAGGGGCCGGGGTATCTCCAGGAGCCCCGCTCCACACCGAACAGGTCTCATCCTGCCCGGATATAATTAAGAAATAGGAAGAAGTTATATACTCCACACATAAATATAGCTGGTTATAACAGTAATTCAGGGCAACAGGCAGAGCTGTCAAACCCCTGCAGTAGCCAACTCCACCATAGGGGCAACACTTGAAGACGCGAGTAGTGACCTGAGGGTCGTTTTGGCACCCAGGCAGACAGGAGATGTTTCTGCACCACCAAGGAGACCCATACAATGCTGAGCCACCTCCTCCCAGGCACACACAGAGCAGGGAACTAACCCAGCTGCACCAAAGACCTGGGGAGTCAAGACTGGCCATTTGACTTGGCCGTCAAAGAATCATAGAATCGTCTAGGTTGGAAGGGACCTTTAAGATCATCTAGTCCAACAATCAACTGATAAAACTTTGATAAAAAAAATAAAAAGAAAACCATGCAAAAAAATCCCCCACATTACCGAACTATGTCTCTAAGCACTGTGTCAACCCCTCTCTTGAAAACCTCCAGGGATGGTGCCCCACGCACTTCCCTGGGCAGCCCATTCCAATGCTTAATAAACCTTTCAGTGTAAAATTTTTTCCTAATATCCAATCTGAACCTCCCCTGGTGCAACTTGAGGCCATTTCCTCTTGTCCTATCACCTATGACTTGGGAGAAGAGACCAACCCCCACCTCTCTACAGCCTCCTTTCAGGTAATTGTAGAGAGTGATTAGGCTAAACAATCCCAGACTAGGATAAGGATGGGCTAGACAATAAGTCTCTCCTTGCTCTCCAGACCCTTCACCAGCTTCATTGCCCTTCTCTGGACGGTCTCCAGCACCTCAATGTCTTTTTTGTGGTAAGGGCCCCAAAACTGGACACAGCACTCGAGGTGGGACCTCACCAGTGCCAAGTAGAGGGGAACAATCACCTCCTGAGTCCTACTCACCACACTGTTCCTGTTCATCAAATCGGTGTCTCCAAGAGGAGGCACAGGGCACACTCCTGAACATGGGGAAAACCAGTGTTTGGAGCTGGCGCTCTGCTTGAGATGCCGCAGCCGGCCGGCCGGCAAGTGCCTGAGCTCTTTGGTTGGGCAGGTGGCCACAGGCAGTGTGAGATGGGCTGGGAGCAGCGCGAGGGGCTGGAAATTCCCTCTGGGGCTGGGGGTCAGGAGAGACGGCTGTTTACAGGCATGGAAGAGCTGCAGGGCCAGAAGCCGGGAGACCTCCCGGCAGCATCTGCCTGCCAAAGCCCTGCAAAACTTGCAATGACAGCTCTGGGAAAGTCAGCCCAAAGTTTACAAGGCTCCCCTGGAGGTCTCCTGGCTCAGGCATCAGGTGAAAAGGGAGACACACCGCCCTACCCACCAATGGGTCCCATCCCAATGCCTGGATAGCAGAGCAGACTCTGCATGTTGCAGAGGTCTGGAGGAGCTCAGGGCTGCCAAGACGAGACTGGGACCAGGACCTGTCCTGTGTCCCCTAGAAGTGACTCACTGTGGTTGCAGACACAAAGGGGAGTTGGCCCTCACCCCCAAGAATACCACGAATTCCCATCTGTACATAGCTCCATTCCAGGCCCAAAGTTGAGAGTCGCCAACATTGCAAAACCCCCTAAGGCTGCACCAAGGTAAGTCAAGAAAGAGGTTTATGAGACCAGTTGATGTGGTTGGCATCAGTTGATAGGGGGAGCATCCTCAAGACATGGTGCTGTCTCCATTGCCTACAGCTACCTCCCACTGGAGACCAGATCACTTAGACAAATACTATAGACACTGAAGACCCTCAGGACATAGCTCTGGCAGATGTGATCTGTTCCTTGACCCTTGGGTTTCTCTCTCCACTCAACAGGAAGATGAGGCCAGATCCAAATCTTCCCACAGGTTTCCACATACAAATCTTTCTCTGCCTGTTCCCATCTCTTCCCACTCTCTTCAGAGCCTTATTAGACTGAGGCTTGATGCTGAGCTGGGCAGGACTTGTCCGACCGAAAACTCACAGCAGTGGTTTCACCCTCCCTTCATATCCCAGGGGCAGCACAGCTTTAACCTACAAATAGGCTGCTCTGCTGTTGTGGGTTCACCCCAGTAAGGACTTAAACCTGTAGCTTGCTCACTCCCCTCACCAACTGGAATGGGGGTGAGAATCAGAAGGGTAAAAGTGAGAAAACTTGTGGCTTGAGAAAAAAGACAATTTTAATAGGTAAAACAAAAGCTGCATGCACAAGCAGAGCAAAATAAGGAATTAATTCACTACTACCTATTGGCAGGCAGATGTTTAGCCACTTCCAGAAAAGCCTTCATCATGCTGATGAAGTGAACACCTTCATCATGCGTTGTGGTTACTTGGGAAGACAAATGTGATAACTCCAAACTTGCTCCCTTCCTCCTTCTTTCCCCGAGCTTTTACTGCTGAGCTTGACACCATATAGTAGGGTTTATCCCTTTGGTCAGCTGGGGTCAGCTGTCCCACCTGGGTTCCCCTCTCAACTTCTCGTGCATTTCCAACTTACAGAAAAGGTCCTGAGACTGTGCAAACATTGTTCAGCAATACTTAAAACATCCTTGTGTTATTAACACTGTTTTTGTCACAAATCCAAATGTGACCAAATAGGAGCTACCAGTGAAGAAAATTAACTCTACCCCAGATAAAACCAGTGCAATCCTCACCCCTTATTCAATGCCATTTATGTCATGCTCAGGCGCCACACCATCCAATACATCCTCATCAACCACCACTCTCCTTCCCATCCTTTGATTTATACACAGGTATAGTTCCCTTAGTCCATGGGCCACCCCTGTAAAACGCCCATAAAATGTCCATTGAGTTCATTCAGTCCATGACTTTGTGCTCCATCTAATAGGGTGGTCACTCAGAACAGGAGAGGCGGTGTGTTGTGTGGAGTTACTGGACACCAAAGCCAGCTCAGGTAGGGTTACTGCTGCGCTTGCACTGCTTCTTGTGAAGCTCATCCTCCCTTGGTTCAGGTGGTTCCTGTTGTAGTAATTCCTATAACATGCAGCTCAAATTATGGGTTCTAACCTCGTAAAGGATTCATTACAATCTCCACCCCTGGTCCCTATGGACCAGGCTATGGGATTTAACACTGTGATTAACTCCTCCCCTTGCCCCTACTCTGCTGTAAATTTATCCATAGGCCACAATCCCTTCAGGGGAGAATCTGCTCTGGCATGGCCTTATCTGTGGGCTGCAATCTCCTTGGGGTGTTCTTGCTCCAGTGTGACCTTATCCATGGGCCATGGTCTCTTCAGGGACATACCTGCTGTGGTGTGGACTTATCCACAGCCACAGATGCATTGAGGTGTTCCAGCATGGCTATATCCATGTCCACAGAGGCTTCGGCGTATATCTGCTGCAAGATGGGCATATCCACGGCCTCGGACACCTTGGGGTATACCTGCTTCCATGTAGACTCCTCCACAGGTCACAGTCCCTTCAATTCCGGTTCACACCAGAGTTCCAGCCTGCCCAGTTCAGCAGCACAGGAACAGCAGTGATGGCCATCTGCCAGCCCAGGCACATCGCCATTGCTCTTATCAAGATGTTCCCAGGCCCAGCAGAGAAAGACGATAAGCGGTATGGCAAGCAACAAAAGCAAAAAGCAGCCACTAACAATCACTAGACTCCAATAAAGGCCATCAAGCCTTGTGGCAAGCACAGGTGTTTGCCAATTTAGTAGCTAAACAACTATAACTGCTATAAATTTGGTCTAGCATGCTCCAATCAAATCTTTCATTGTCTCAAACCCTTCAAGCACCACACTGGGTGCCAAAAAGGACTCTGTCCCAGCTGAAATCAGTATATCTGCATATCCCAGATGAACACCTTTCTATTCCCTGTTTAGAGTTTCATCAGCCCCCTCTGACTGCCCATGATACTGTGGAAGCCCCAAGTGGGATCCACTGCAAGCACAGACTGTAAGAGCCAACCTTCTTCTGCCACTGAGGCCAAAATACAATAGTCAAGGATCTTTACTTTCATAGACATGAAAGACAGAAGCAATGGTTATGTTCATCCCGTCTGACCACAAGCCAGGAGCTATCATCGACTGAGCCCACTGTCATGATCAATCAGGTCAATTCCTTTTCTGTAAGCACAACCAAGATATCTCTGCTGTCCATCAGTGTGTCCAGTTTCAGTAGTTTCAGCAGCCAAAATAACCTCTACTTACAAAATATGTTGCTGGCACAAACACCAGGGAATCACAAGCAGGGCATTGGAGTTGATGTACCCTTGTGCACATGTATGTCAGCAGACCACTGCTGATACCATCCAGTTCTGGAGTCAACCTTTTAGACAAAAAAAAATAAAAATGGATAAGGCTTTGAAAAAAGGATAAGGAAGGATACAGCTCATATACAAGCCAGAACTTCCCTTATGGTACTTGGGAATTTTTAACAGATGTCTCTAATGAGGCAGGAAAACTGTGTGCAGCCTTCACAGGCACCCAAACACGTAATGTCCCACCAGATTTGCCCCACAGCAGTACACATCAGGCACATTTACTGACTCAAAGCTGCAGGGCCAGACCACAGACCAGCAAGCAGCTCTCCATCACTCTAGCTGGCAATGGCCAACAGTTTGTTCCCCACAGTAATTGTGATGTTATGCTCTCTCATGTTTACAACATCCAGTTTCCATGAGGAACACTCCACAAAACAAGAAATAACAGATACAACCTCCACACAATATATCACAAAGAAATCCTACAGTGTGCAGGAGGCACCCCTGGCCTTCCAAGGGATGGAGAACTGATGGCATTTGTGGAGACTGAGGATCATTTCCAAAGCCCTAGACAACCCCAGGTTGCTCCAGGGATGCCATTGGATGAGACCTCAGAATGAACCTGGCCCAAATATCCATGGTCCCTCTGCAGTCCCAAATCATAAGCTGTTTCTCACTCCACAAGACTGAGTTGCCTTGGAAAAGGATGTTGGCCGAAAAACAGTGAGGAAGCTGGCATCTCTACTGGAGAAGAGCCCAAACTCTTCCTCTCTGACCTGGGGAGGAGATAAACGAGAAATCTGCCTTGACCCATCTGGTACTTCCCACAACCCAGAGCTGCTCTGTCCTGATGGGCTGGTGTATCTTGTCTCCATCCTCATGACATGTCTTCAGAGCCTTGGCAGGCAGATGCTGCCGGGAGGTCTCCCGGCTTCTGGCCCTGCAGCTCTTCCATGCCTGTAAACAGCCGTCTCTCCTGACCCCCAGCCCCAGAGGGAATTTCCAGCCCCTCGCGCTGCTCCCAGCCCATCGCACACCGCCTGTGGCCACCCGCCCGACCAAAGAGCTCAGGCGCTCACCGGCCGGCCGGCTGCGGCATCTCAAGCAGAGCACCAGCTCCAAACACTGGTTTTCCTTGTACTCTGGGGCTGCCTCTTGTCTTCTGCCTCCCTTTAGAGACCAGTTCAATGTGACACATGAGGCCTTTCGCCCTTTGCGGGGGGCGATGGAGACAACAAGATGGTCCTGACATAGCCAGGGTTGTTGTGGCCTGTAGACACTGGACAGAGGAACATCTCTGTGCCCTCGAAGCAGATCTAACTCTGGTGGCCCAGCTGTTGGGTGGCTCTCCACACAACCGTGGAGCCCTGCACTGTGTGCCCTCTGAAGGTCCAGCTCCCCATCGGAGGATGCTGGGGCTCAGGGGTCCCATCCCTGCCTCCCCTAAAGGGTCCTATCCCAACACCTGGGACAGGTCAGCAGAGCAGACCCTGTGTGTTGCAGAGGTCTGGAGGACATCAAGGCTGCCAAGAGGAGATTCAGACCAGATTGTGCCCCCATGTACCCCAACAGTAATTGACTGTGGTTGCAATCGCAAAGGGGATTTTACACCCCCGGGAAGACCACAAGGGCCGTGGCCCTAATTCCCATCTGCGCAGGGCTCTGCTCCAGTACCGAAGGTCTCTGTGAGAGCTGCCAGCATTGCAAAATATCGGCCCTGCTGGAGGGAGAGGAGGAAGATGCACAAACCACCAGCAGAGGACTGTGTGCCATTTCAGTCCTGAAAGCTCTGGGGACATTCCTGCTCTCTTTGTATTCGCCTTGTGCTCCCACCTCTGGGAGCAGGACCACCAGGGGTCTGCAAACCCACAGCCCACCTCCCCGCATGAGCTGCATGCCAGCTGCCCAGTGATAGGACCTTTACACTAAGCCTGGAAAAGCAGAGGCTAAAGCATCTCCCATCCTCACCACACAATGGTGCATCCCTTCGTGATCCAACAGCCGAAGCTTTGTGGCCAGAGGTGAAAACTGATGTCCATGCTAGATGTCCATGCTAGAATCCAGGGCAGGAAAAGCAGGGAGCAGAGTTCCAAGAATCAGAGCATTTTAGGGAGTGGAAGGGACCCTTGGAGATCACCTAGTCCAACCCCCCTCCCAAAACAGGTTTAACAGTGTCTTCTGCTGATTCCCAGGTGGGGATGGGCAGAGGGTATGGTTACCTGTGATGCTGGCAGTGCTGTGGGGTTCAGACCTGTAGATAAGGGGCTTCTGATCTCACACGACACCCCCTCTATTTGTCTGATGCTTTCAGCATCATGGAAGGGGGCACCATGTCCTTTATTAACAAAGCAGGATTTCCTATAAAGCACTGCCTGTATTTTTTGTTCAAAATGGTAAAACCCCACCAACCCCACAGCTCCCCTTGCCAGAGGGGTGACGACACCCAGGAGCAAGGGATGAGTGCACAAACCACAGACTGGCAGGATGCCCTGAAACCCTCTGGGGTGCAGGACTCCCCGTCTTCCTCTGCTCCCATCTGCAGTGGCCCTGGTGCTGCCAGGGAGGTTGTGTGTCCCCGTCCCACTGTCTCCCCCTGTGCCAGGACAGCACCAGCACACGTGGAGATAGTTCTAAGCAAGTTTGGGGAGAGGGTTTGGAACATCAACATGTAAGCTGGGTAGTAAGTTTACAACGAAAAGCACTTAAAACACTCTGCTCTCCAAAAGGGGAGGCTGGAACAGCCAGGGTGGACAGCCGACCTTGCACCTCTGCGTGGCTCCAGTTACTTGTGCAAGTAACCTCAGGTCGGGACCCCCCCCACTTCCCACCATTAGGCCCATCACACTGACCCCACCTCCTCCCTGCCACTCGTTGAGTGACTTTTAATCTCCCGTTTTTGTGATACCGGGATTGCCCAGGATAATAGGTCTTCCCGAAACCTGTTGAAATTTGCAGTTGCTCATGTATCACAGGGAATTAAAGGATTAAACATCTGTCCAGGCTGCCGAGCACGCAGCCGAGATCGCACACAGCCGCTTTGGCTTGGAGCGCTGCAAAGATAAGGACAACTCTCCAAACATCCAAGCAGCTCTTGGAGGTCAAGTCGTTCTCCCTTCCCACTTAACGTTATCTGCCTTACGATCTCCTGGGTCACACATGGATTTCAAGAAAAAATCCCATCTTATTTAAAAACTTTCGACTGCCAGAGACGTCCTCCAGCTTGGGCCTGTGCTAGGACCTAAGTCTCTCCCCAGAAACATGCACCATCTTTTTGGTCACCCTTGTACCTCTGTCAAATATTGGCATAACATTTTCTCCTAAATCTTCTGGAAATCCCCGCTGTGCTGAGACTTGGCCAGTGCCTGTGCTCGGCACGCTTTGTTGGAATAGGCATTTTATATATGCTAAAGCTAGTGACGCAGGACGTTAGAAGAGCTCTTCTGGGGTGGGCGCAGACCATCTGACACTGTACTCCCAAATATCCCTTTGAGGACCTCCCTGAAACAACATGCTGGGTCCATCCACCTCCGCCACAGTCCCTTGACCGCGAAAGACCTCGGCGTGCTGGCCCCAAGCTGCCTAAGAAAAGCTGAGAGCAGAGAGCTGCAGCTGGTGGACCTGCAGCCCCGGCCCCCCACCCAGCCCACCAGGGGACTGGCAGCATCCTTTGAAGGTTCCCATGCAGGCAGCAATCTTGTGGTCAAGTCCTATGCAGGACTAAGACTGGGCAGCCTCATGGTCTTCTCCAGAAGGCTGTCCACCAAACCATGTAAACACAAGCCCAGAGGAACAAGAAAAAAGGGAGATGTGACACCCACACCTTCCTCTGTCCTCACAGTCCAGCCAGGGCTCTCCTGCTGCCTGACCACCTGCTGGCCAAAGCTGCCCACTCCCTTCTCCCACTCTAAGGATGCCCCCATAGAAAGCTGTCTTTCCAGTCCCTCATCACTAAAGTCAACATGGTGCAATTTCTGGGAAGCTTTGGATCTCACATGTGTTTGTCCTACTTCCCAGGCTCCCCAGCTGCCCAGCTGTTCCTTTCCATTAGAGCTAATCACGAAGATTAGGACAAAGACCCAGCCTGGAAGGTTTGCAAACAGCTCCAGCCTGTTTCTGCAAACAGCTTTTGCAGTCGCGCTCTTGCACAAAAGCAGACGGGCTAATAAACCCCTGGCATCTGCGCAGGGAGTCCCCAAGAAGGGCTTAGTGCTAAGCTGGCCCAGCCAGCAGACAGCCAATGCCACTCCCAGCCACCAGCTTAGAGACACTGCAAACCACAGCTTGAAGGACCGGCTCCAGGTCCTTCAAAAGTGAAGCTAAGGGAGGCAGCAAGGCTGGAGAAAAGGTGCCCAGAGCTGTCAGAGGGGAGACTCAAGTCCATAACACATGTCACAACTGAGCTTGAGTCCCAGTGTCCTTTGTCTCCCCAAGAAGTCTGCCCAGGTGTCACCTCCACCCTCCCAAACACACTAACACACTTAAACCCTCAAGGGAGGTGGGACCCCACCATAATAGCAGGGCATGGGGGAGCCCACCATCCCATCAAGGCATGGTGGAGCTGAGCAGCAGGGGGAACCCTCTATCCCAGTTCTCCCACCCAGAGCCCCCCGTCATCATATTGCCCCACAGCTGCAGGCAGTAGCTGCTGGCTGGAGCCATTCATCACTAGATTGACTCCAGATTTTGCAGACTTTGAACTCTTGTGTCCAGGAGACTACAAGCCAACGTGACAGAGAAGCCATCCTGCATATGTCCAGCTGTGTGCTGAGGTTTCTGCAGCCACCCACCAAGCAAGCTGCTGTCCCTGTCAAAGTAAACAGGTTGTCCTCCCTCTACTAACAAGCTGGAGGGATTGCTTTGAACCCTCAGCCCATCTGTAGCCCCATGTTTGCCATCATATGAAGCAAGCAGCTTGCAGCTGGCCTCGCCATGACTGCACGGGGAAAGAAGGGGGTGCAGCCACCTGGAGATCCTGGTGGACTGCAGTATATGATGGACAGTTGACAAACACGAGCCTTCCCAGCCGTTCATCACTGAGTCCCAAGGGATGGACTTGAGGGTGAGC